CTAGACGAGATAATCGTTTGCTTTACTTCTATGTTTTAAGAAAAATAAGTTTAAGAACTTATTTCTAAATAGTAATAATAATATATATATTTAATGTATAATAACAGAAATGTGACTGTATGTTACAAAATACTAGTCTACTAAAAAACAGCCAAGACAGGTCACTACGTAAAGACTAAAGGTCAGTTTTATATTAGTGGATATGGTAACATGAGTGCACTTGCACTGCATCATTGTAACTTTTGTATTGGCATGGCTGACAGGTCAATATAATCAAAATAATATATATATATATATATATAAATGTATAAGGTAATGAGATTTAAGCTATTTAGTCTAGAAGTTTGTGTTTTCGTGTTATAATTTATTGTCATTCTAGAATGAAAAAGGCATAATTTATATTTATATCCTAATTTTTAACATGGTTATGAAATTTGTCAAATCTACCAAACCCATACAGAGATTAATTACTGAAAATAACAGTAAAATATAAAGTTTTTTTTAAAGAAACATTTGATAACTATCAGGATGTTAAAGATTTCGCATGTGAAATTTAAAAATTTTCTGATGATAAAAGTATTCTAAATCTTAAAATGAAAATTACTTTGCATGTTGGATAGTCAACATTCCAAAAGAAATAAGGCACAAGAAAAACATTACTTAAAAAAATCTTAAGACTTAATATATATATATATATATATATAAAAAAGATACTTTGCATATGAAAGCATTGTAATGATTCCTGATAATATGCCAAATTTCGTTAACATGTGCTTACTAATTTAAAAGTTATAGCATGAAAACTATAACAAGCACAAAATGGTTACGAGGTCAGTCCCAGGGACCGAGCCCATACTGAAAGAATTAAAATATATTAAAACAGAGAACATACACCTGTTAAAATTACAGAATACTATGGGACTGTGAGATCATTTTTTCCCATAATACTGAGGATACGAGTAATATACTTAATTATAGGGATTCACAAGAAATAAAGCCTCTGATTAAGGTCTGTAATTTATGGCAATATTCTCTCAATCTTTTTACTGGGTAGGTACAAATTCCACTGAGTACTACTACTTTGTTGTTGGGCAGTTTACATTTTACAAGTCTTCTTATACAATTCCTTATTTTAAGCAACTAAACAAAGAAGAAATACTGAAAAGGCTCATTTATCTGCACAATCGACAGTATTTACCACTTAAAAGTTTTTGTATATAAAACAAGTAGTAAAAAATATTTTGTAAATGTAAAATGATGTAAAGATTGCAGTGCTAAACATAATGCATACAAGAATATAGGGATGACATAGCTATACATAGATCATTCCTAAATAACTTTCAGTATTAAAATTTAATGTTAAACTGAAATGACCATGATATTATGATAAACAAACTGCATACCAACAGTCAGGAATATATAACTTACAACTGCAGTAATATTAAAGTCAAATATACATCTTACAGTATAAATCAGCCAAAACCTGCTGTGGTTTAGTGTATTCCAATAAAGCATATGATGGACAGATTACTATTGGACAATACTGCTAGCAGTATCAATATACTTAATCCTTTAACGACGGGCTCAGTATAAAATATGAGTTCATATACACATTTGCACATGTTAAGTATTTATACTATAACTTTTAATGCAATGTATGTATCTCAGAAAGTTTGGTAGACTTTTAGTAAACATTACAAGTCTTTTGCCCACAAAAAATTAGATTTTTTTTAATGAAGTATTTTTACTAGAGATTTGTTTGTGAATATATTGAGTATGTTTCATTACTAGTCCGAGTGCAAAATGATTTTCATGTTATGATTAAAAAACTATTCTTCATCCCAAAAAATATCATTTGTGTAATCTCTACAACCTCCTAAGTACATTTGGAACATTTGTTTTCAGTATGACTTTATATTTTATTTGTTAATTTCTCTACCCTAACTCTACACAGAAGAATGTGGAGAATGTGTAACGAAATAATTTTTTTTGTTTTATATATAATTCATAATAACCAAAAATCATAAGTTACTATATCAATACCATAGAATTCTACTATAATTTATCAACCTTAGTAGCTAAGCTGTATTTGAGCCTAAAAAAAAATATGAAATTGAGCTCACTAAAGACTTACTTTACCAGCTGGAAATCTCTTATGAAAAGAACAAGATTGATGCCCTAATACTTCAAAATGGCTGAGAAAGCCACTAGGGGGGACATTTTGAGCTTTAAATTGGTTATTCACACATCAAAAACAGAAGTAGGTTTATGTAGGGAAGTGTTTCCACAAATGGAAAGAATTGGGTGGGGCCCCATGTTTGATTCAGTAAATGTAGTGAGATCTCAGCAAATAGAAAAGATAGGAGGTACTTATTTTATATTCTAGTTTGTCAATATTGGTAATTTGAGTTCCTAATTTGTACGAAACTATAGACTTTGTAGTTGAACATCATAAACATCTAATTTGAACCAACGCTACATTCAACATACCACAACACACAAAAATTGATATATAGGTGGGTTTCTTTTTAATATTTACTTTTAAATTAAGAAATTACATAATGTATAACACTAAAATTTGAATTATAATCTACAATTTGATACCAAATTTATACACATAAATTCATAAAATAGTAGTTCAATAAAATTTAAATGTAAGTCAACAAACACAATGACAGTCTTTGACCCATGACATGTGTCAAAAGGGGTAACATTCCACAACGAAAGATTTAAAAAAAAGTTTTGTTTTTTTTACTTACCACAGGAATGTTGACAGACTTCAGCGTATCCACTAAAGCCTTTCCCAAGCTAACTGGTGAAAGGTATTCACCAACTTTCTTCCTGGTCCACCAGTTATTTACATTGGTTCTGTAAGTTTAAAAATACATATATATAGAGATAATTAAATTAAATGTGCACAATCTAAAATACAGCAGAAAACAAAACAAACCTTCACAAATATTTAAAAGATTTCTCTTTATATCACCAATTGTTTCAGTGTGAACTAAATTTTGTTCATGCTAAATGTGAGCAACAAAATATTCAAAAATACACAAGTTTATTAAAAATCAAAATGACAAATACTGACTATGTATGTTTAGCTTACTAAGGGTAAACCATTGTCATCCTTATGTTGACTCTTTTACTTGTTCAATAATATATATATATATATATATATATATATAGAAATAAACAATTTACTAAGTTATCACAGATCCTAGATTAATTGGATATAAACAGTAGTTATTGAAGTACTCTATTCTACAAT